GGTATGAATTGGATCTGACTCAATGGCAGTGAGTTTAGAGTACATGTATTGGAACTGAAAAATAAATAATCCTGGCACCAAACCATGAATAATTTTAAGCACAAAAATTCTGACTAAAGATCAAATATTTTATTCTTTTTATTAATGGTGACTTAGAGACATATTAGAGGAAAAAAAAGCAGTACTATCAGAAAAGCACCAAGTTATTCTTAATTGAGTATTTTTAAATGATTTAAGACAAAAGAACTCTCTCCACAGTATTTAAACTGTATAAATTATTTCAATGAGATAAAAAATTATACAACTGTTCTGAAAAAGTACTGATTGTTCCGGACTCTGCATGTATCACCAGAATGCATGATGACAATAAATGTTAGAAAATAAATTATTACAATAGCCTCCTAATTGTCAAACCCCAGTAGAGGTTTCAAGAGATCTGCTGATGCAGTGGTTAAGTGCTTGGCTACAAACCGAAAGGTTGGTGGTTTGAACCTACCAGGCACTGTGTGAAGATGTGGCAGTCTGCTTCCATAAAGATTACAGCCTTGGAAACCCTATGGGGCAATTAACTCTGCCCTACAGGGTCACTATAAGTCTGAATCAACTCAAAGGTAACAGGTTTAGTTTTTGTAATACGGATTTCAGTCCCAAAATTCACTGAAATCTCTGTGACATCTGACAATGCTAGTCACTTCTTTAACAATTTTAACTTTTTAACATTTTCAGAACCTTAAATTACCAAGTTCAACAAGTCATCACCTCATGAATACATCTGAGTAACCTGAGTTACTCCTCATGAATACACCTGAGTAAGGTCAAGAACTAAACATTATCCACATCTCTAAGTTCCCTCATATTTCTTCCCAATTACTATCCCATCATTCCTATCCAAAGGTGTTTTCTAACACCAAAAATTACTTCTGCCTACTTTGGAACTTTACATCAACAAAATCATAAGATTCATATTATTACATGTAGCTTTAGTTCTTTCATTTGTTGCTATATGGTATCCTAATATACAAATATACCTCAAGTGAAGAACAAGTGAATACTGCATGGTTTAAAATCACAAAAGGCATGTGTCAGGACTGTATCCTTCCATCATACTTATTCAATCTGTATGCTGAGCAAATAACCCAAGAAGCTGGACTATATTCAAGAAGAACAAGGCATCAGGATTAGAGGAAGACTCATTAACCACCTGCAATATGCAGATAACATAACCTAGCTTGCTGAAAGTGAAAATGACTTGAAGCACTTACTGATGAAGATCAAAGACTACAGCCTTCACTATGAATTGCACCTCAACATAAAACAAAAATCCTCACAACTGGACCAATAAGCAACACCATAAACAGAAGTAACTGATGTTGTCAAGGTCTTCATTTTACTCGGATCCAAAATCAATACCCATGGAAGCAGCAGTCAAGAATCAAATATATTGTATTGGACAAATCTGCTGCAAAAGACCTCTTTATGTCACCTTGAATACTAAAGTATGTCTGACCCAAGCAAGCCACTCACTGTCTTTTCAACAGCCTCATATGTATGTGAAAGCTGGACAATAAATAAGGAAAATCAAAGAAGAATTGATGATTTGAACTGTGGTGCTGGTGAAGAATACTGAATATACTGTGGACTGTCAGAAGAAAGAACAAATCTGTCTTGGAAGAAGTACAGCCGAATACTCCTTCGAAGTGAGGATGGCGAGACTTCATCCCTCTTAACTTTGGTCATGCTAACACAGCAGGGACCAGTCCTGGGAGAAGAGTATCCTGCCGACCATAGTATAAATTCTGAAACCCTTATCACTAGTTCAAATCCTTTTAGGAGCAAGACAAAATATGAATAGTTAAACATATATGCTGTGCCATAACACTGAAAAGTATTTCATGGCCTAAACAAGTGGTTCTCAACTTTTGTCTTCAGATTAAAATCATCTGGAGAGCTCAAATAATATTTAACAACTGAATGACACACTATAAAAATTCTGATTTAACTGGTCTGAAGAGGATCCTAGACATCAGTATAATTTTAAAAGACACCCAGGTAATTCTAATACACAGCTAGGATTAAGAATAACTGTACCAAGCTGCCTTTCTAGTTTAATTTCTCACAACTTCTCCTGGGGTGTCTATCATCATTTCCTGAATATGTCAGGTTTTCTCTTATTCTTTTCAAATGCTCTTTCTATGACCCAGAATCACCTTTACTTTTCTAGTCAGCACATTTTGTTCTTTTTCTAAATCTCTAATTTTCTAAGTCTCATAACCTCCTTGGTACTATGCACATTAACTATTCAACTAGGAATCAGCAGAGTAT